CTGATCCTGCAAAACACATTTAACAGAACCAATCTGTCACAATGTTACTTTAGTAATGTATTTTTATTTTTTACTGTAGTTTTACCATAGTTTTCTCATAGTAACTTTCTTTCACTGGCATCCTCAAGACACATGTTCTTGTGGGATTCTTGTTTTCTTGCATCAGCTAAAAAAGAGTTTGTAGGTTTGGCAATCCACTTTCAATACCAAAGCATGGGTATCATTCATTTTTATTGGCTATTATTAAGTTGTAAATACATGTTTCAAGACTTGAGTTATCAAAAATACAGAACGATTCAAAAACAGGAGAAAAAGTAGTCTTTGTCCCTTCTTTTATAAAAGGAATAGATTAATTATATAAGCTTTTCTATTTAAAGTTTATTTAAGAAAAAGAGGGTTTGGGTTTTTTTTTTTTCCTGTGTTACGGTAATTACAAAATTTCCCATTCCGTGAGCTTTAGTTCCCTTAATTTTGCAACAGTTATTGTATGAACTTAAAAAGTATAGCTTTACTTCCTCTTTCTTTTTATAAGAGTAAAGTAGAAAAAAAAGGGAAAAAGCAATGCATGTTTTCTTAAAGGATCATCTTAAAATAAGCATGGCAGTAATAACAGAAACCAAGATAGCTCACACTCTACTACATACCCCAGGCAATTACTCCGTCAGTACGACCACAGACTTTATCTTTTTTGTTGTTGTTTTCTCTTTTTGTTCACTGACACAGGAAAACAAGAATGCCTAAGGAAATACTGTGACGTATTTATTCTTTTTGATTTTAGAAAATACTGAGAACAGATATTATTTCCTTGCTTGGAGGAAAAAAATCCACAAATTAAAATCAAACAAACCGACTCGCTGCAAAATAACAGTACATTTCAAAATGTTCTCCACTGTAAAAATAACAATGCCTCAAAAAGGGCATGCCATTCATTTTAGACCATATCACCTACACAACTGAACACCAAGATGCTGTGTTTGGATGTGTCTCCAATTTTTCCTCTGCAAAATCCTGTAATTATGAACATTTATTTCTGAGATGTCTGAACAGTAGTTTCCTAACACTTTCCAACTTAAAAAGGTAAGCTTATAATGGTTTTAAAAATAATAATCCAGCTCCTGCTCTCCAAATTTAAAAATGAAATATTTTTAACCTATATTTGCCACATAAAAAAAGAAAAAAGACAAGACAGGTATTTCAGGTATGAGGCATTTCATCTTCAATCTAAGCAGTGAGGAAAACCTTACAATATAGGATTGTTTAATCCACAGCTGTTTTTACTGTTCTGAATTTGAATACTTGTAGTAACT